ACGACCGCCACTGAGCCCGGTTTCTCGCCATATCCTGCAGCGTTAACAGCCATTGGTCTGCGGCGTCGTTAGACTCCCTGGATGGGGTCCGCGCCCTGCCAACTGAAGCTAATCTACTTGTAAGCCCTTTCGTCTGACGGCTCCAGGTCAGTGCTTGGCCCCCACGTACTCTATGCCAGCTTGGATTGGAGGTAGCAAAGAGTGTCCTATCTTAAACTTATACTCATTGTTTTATATTTAATTTCCTTTTTAATATTTGTATATTTTTGTTATTCAACCTGAGTGATTGTTGGTGTACTCGTGATCATGTTCGGCAGGTTTGTTTAAATACACAAGCATTCGTTCTAGTATTTGTTGTTATTTTCATAACTGTGTCGTTCATTCGTGGTTTAGTATGTTGGTCTAAGGCTGAAAGGTAACACCCATTGAATACTTTTTTTAAATAACTAAATAAAGCATTTGTATGGCATAAATTATTTTTTAGCAAAGTAATAATAAATATTCTAAAATATTGAATCTCTTCGTCTTCATTCTACCAAGTTTTTGTACTTACACTGGCTTATTGTCTGTGTTTTTTTTATCCTGGTTCCTACTTCTCTAATATACATGAAATGTATGAATAGAGAAAACATTAAAAACAGGTTATATTCTATGTCAATTTTAGTGTAGGTAATGACTACCAGATGAATAAAATGATATGATGAGTTTACAAACAGCTTTGTGATCGAAAGTGTAGAGAACTAGAAAACAAAATCCACTGTTGTGTTTTGTAACTGCTATCAGATTTGTACACATACATACATACAGAGAGAGAAAAACAAACACAGAAGAATAACAAATAACTCGAGTGTGTGATGTGAGTAAGAGAGTCGGAATGTCACAGAATATAATATATAATTTAGACATTGATAAACTGGTAGTGTTTAAAATGTGGACAGTGGAGAATGTTTAACAGAATTTTTTATAACAGAAGTGATATTTAGTTTTTTATATGAATGGGCATCAAACTAGATTTGGCCCAGGTTTTGACAAACTAAGATAATGCAGTTTGCAGGTTACATTTTTTTTTTTAGGTATAAAACCTAACTGTTGTTTATTTAGAATTCTTTGCATTTCAGATAGTAGCCTAGCCATGGCAGCCCTTCGTAAAAAGCTGGTGATTGTTGGAGATGGAGCCTGTGGTAAAACTTGCCTTCTTATCGTGTTCAGCAAGGACCAGTTTCCCGAAGTGTATGTACCTACAGTGTTTGAAAACTATGTTGCTGATATTGAAGTAGACGGGAAACAAGTAAGTATGGAACAATGATCCCACGTATAGGTATTACAGTATGGAACTATGATCCCTTGTATAGGTATTACAGTATGGAACGATGATCCCTCGTATAGTTATTACAGTATGGAACGATGATCCCTCATATTGGTATTACAGTATGGAACGATGATCCCTCGTATAGGTATTACAGTATGGAACGATGATCCCACATATTGGTATTACAGTATGGAACGATGATCCCACATATTGGTATTACAGTATGGAACGATGATCCCTCGTATAGGTATTACAGTATGGAACGATGATCCCTCGTATAGGTATTACAGTATGGAACGATGATCCCTCGTATAGGTATTACAGTATGGAACGATGATCCCTGGTATAGGTATTACAGTATGGAACGATGATCCCACATATAGGTATTACAGTATGGAACGATGATCCCATATATTTCATCGTTCCATACTGTAATACCATCCCACGTATAGGTATTACAGTATGGAACGATGATCCCTCGTATAGGTATTACAGTATGGAACGATGTTCCCTCATATAGGTATTACAGTATGGAATGATGATCCCTGGTATAGGTATTACAGTATGGAATGATGATCCCTCGTATAGGTATTACAGTATGGAATGATGATCCCACGTATAGGTATTACAGTATGGAATGATGATCCCTCATATAGGTATTACAGTATGGAACGATGATCCCACATATAGGTATTACAGTATGGAATGATGATCCGTCATATAGGTATTACAGTATGGAACGATGATCCCTGGTATAGGTATTACAGTGAGTTCACTTTGTACCTCATTGAATTCATTGAAGTAACCAGAAAAAAAAAGTCAAAACTAGAGCCTATAATGTAGTTTTTGTCATTGAGAGTAATGCATGTAATTTATGCTACAACATTCCCTAACTTATAACACCAGACTTTCTCTTTAAGTAGAGTGTGAGAATTTTATGAGTTTACGCAGAGTAAAATATTTTATAATTTGTATTAACAAAAAAAATTCTTCTATTTTAATAAAAATAATCAGGAAATTTCACGCACACAAAAACAAATCATAAAAATTTTTAAGACCGAACAAATATACCAAGATTCAACTTCTGTAAGGTCCAGGCTAGAATACCAATTGTTTTATGATTAATAATTAGTAACATCATTCCTTTTGTATTAATAATTTTGAATTTTGTATAATAAACTTTGCCTTTAATTTGTTGATGTCAGCATTACGAAAAGCGATGAAAAATATATATTGATCTCAATGCAAGTGTCGTGTATCATGTCTTTTCAAATGCTGAGTTAATTTTGTACATACTTTTTGTTTTGTTTACTAAAGTGACACATCTTGAATAAGTTTGGCTTGACCTAATCAGAGAAAATTCATTAGATCCAAACTTTTTCTCGTCCATTAAGAAAGGCCTACAAGAATTACACAAGTAAACTATCTGTAGTTATAAGTTAAAGTTCCACGTAATTAGTTTAATTATTTTTAATTGCCAAGAAATACTACTAAAAATAAACATGTTGGCCCTCTGTTGGTGAGTAAGGAACTTCATTATTCAATCTTTTGAATAATTTATTTTCAGGCACATTGTATATTAGTAGTAAAAAACTAATATAACATTTTTGGCACATTGAAAGTTAAACTCTATTACTTGTTTCTTCAGCCGACTGGTTCAGTAACACAGTTATCATCATCGGGGATTGAAACTACAGTGTTGGCTTAACCCTTTAAACAAGGGCAGATGAGATTACCATCTGCTCGACTCTGGGACATTTATGCAACTAAAATACGGTAACTGTGCGTTCCTCACAGATTCTGTTAAAGTTTATGAGTATTTTGTACACAAAGAATGATGTTATTTTAATCACATCTTTCCTCACAGATTCTGTTAAAGTTTATAAGTATTTTTTACCCAAAGAATGACGTTATTTTAATCACATCTTTCCTCACAGATTCTGTTAAAGTTTATAAGTATTTTGTACACAAAGAATGACGTTATTTTAATCACATCTTTCCTCACAGATTCTGTTAAAGTTTATAAGTATTTTGTACACAAAGAATGACGTTCCTCACAGATTCTGTTAAAGTTTATAAGTATTTTGTACACAAAGAATGACGTTCCTCACAGATTCTGTTAAAGTTTATAAGTATTTTGTACACAAAGAAATGACGTTATTTTAATCACATCTTTCTAATAAAGATGTTATTTACATATAGCAGATATTTGCACTGACTGTTGAAATAGGTCGAGTGAAATGTGGTTTTAATTTTATATCTTTCAGTTGCATAATCTCTAAAACCTTCTAAATGGATATCACTAACTCTAGTTATTATCATCAATGTACAGTGCAATGAAATAACTAAAATTAGGAAATAGAAAAAAAAATAACATAACTTTTAAATTTTTAGTTAGAGTATCTTTATTACATGTTGTTTTACTTTATATTCTATAATTTTAGGGTTCGTTTTTCCTTTTTCTACCTACTAGTTAA